ATTATTGGCTTACATTTTAGGAATGCATCCTTTCTACTAAATTGTGGTTTCAAGTAAAAAAGCCCAGAACATTGTGCGTCTATTAAAAAGAAAAAAGAAAAAATCTAGCAACAGCATTTTTTAATACAAATTAAGTCCTCAAAAAATTACCAAGTATAGTGAACTATCAGATTTGTATTAGTGAGATGATATCACAAGCTATGTTTACATGGACACAATCGTATTGAAGGCCTGATCAGATCCAAAATGTTTCATCAAAACATTTCAGACTGACGAGTAAATCCCACCCATCATGGCGATTCGATTCAGTATCAATTTTCTAACCTAACGATTCGATTATTTTCTATACTCAAGAATACACCACAAAACGATTCGATTATTGGTTAATATTTTAACCTTACAGGGTGGACAATGTTTCAAATTTGAAATCAAATAAAGCTGTAATATCGTTATGCATTTTATTTGATAAACAACAGCAAATAACAGAAGTAGCAAAGTTGTTCCAGGAGCAAATTGATAAAAAGAGACCAGAGGAAAGGGAAAAAATAAAAAATAAAAAATTATTCGATACTCTTGCGGACGTGACGATGCATCGGATTGCAGCTGTTGGATCGATGCATCGATACAAAACGATTATCATTTACACCCCTATTCAATTTGGTCCAATCGGTAAGAAAGATCATTCCTAAAGAGAGGGGTGTTTTTTTATTTGATCCATCATTTTAATAATTTAATATCATTTTAATATATCCATCATATTTAAAGATCCATCCAGCTGGATCTTAAAATAATCTCCACTGCTCATGTGCGTAACCTGAACATGACTTTTTCCTCTCTACTCCTAACCTTCATCCACTTGCTCCTGGTTCTTGGTGGAGGAGGTGGCACTAATCGTGCAGATGGGCACGCCATCCTGCCGACTACCCCCATAGGGAAGGTGCGTTAGCATAAGTTACTGCTGAGTCCTTAACTAAATTGACCACTAAAAACACAAGTATGGATACAAAGATGTGATGAAGGTCCATAATAGAGGAAAAAAAACTACATCAACAGACATCACTGAAGAACTGAGAGAAACTAAATGTGAGGAGTTGGAAGAAAGAGTAGCTAAAGTGGAGGATGAGCACGCTTACATGATTTAAACCAAACGAATGCTTGGTGCATGTGTATACATGTCAAGATCGAACAATTTTATTAAAGTGTCCATGAAAATAGATTTGGAATTTCTGAGCAACCAAGGTTTAGATCAGATCGGGGAAGGTTTGTGCACATGAAAGTAGCTAATGTTAATTATCGTGTTAGATGGGCAGATTATCAATCACAGACTTGTGAGTTTAATTTATATCATGACAGATTGTGATATCGGTAAACATTGTGTAATCATCCAAACCAGGCCATATAACATTGTTCTGTGATAAAGCTGGTGATTTACACCCATAATGCTTTCATGCATAAACTGGAATAATCCTGTCCATCACTTACTGGTGGATTTCAAACTACTATGTGCTTTACCCCCTTTTTAGCTATCAAAATTGTCTCTATAATAAAAAGAAACTGGTTATTATCGATATCAGTCAGAGAATCTCCAGTCAAACTATTCTCAAATACATTGCAGCAGGCGTTTCCTGTTACGGTTCTTAACCTATCAATGACAAATATTACTAACCTGAATGATGTTTCAATACCACAGGCATTCTATCCGCTTAGAACAATCAAAGTGCCATGATTTTCATGACAGCCTTTGTATTGAATATTTCCTTTTTATTTCCAATCCCCGGTTAAAGCTTCCACCCCGCTCCTTTTTAAAATTGATCACTGATTGCCACTTGATCCCTATGGGAGGTCTAAATATCTGCATGTTCCTCTGCTGTTCAATTATTGATCTAATGATCCAGGTAGCCTCTGAGCACTGACAGGATATAAATCATTCCCACAAAAAGAAAAAAAGTGTGCAGATCTTTTTTCCTTCAGTTTTGCAGTCAGGCCAAATTCTGTTTAATGTATAATTTTTTTTTTTTTTTTTATAGCCCTTTTCTTTTATAAAATAATTCGAAAAAAGTCATATATATCCAGTTACTTTTCCTCAAATACATCTAAATAAACAAATTCCCTTTACAGGTCACCTAACTAGTAAACAGAGTCGACCTGCTGTGTGGATTGTAATCTGAGATGAATACAGCTGCTCTCTCCAACAGAGGCGTAGCCAGAAAATTTTATAAGGGTGGCCAGCCAGTAACCAATGTACACTGAGGGGTGGCCGAAATTAGACAGGCACTAAAACCTCAGGGTCAATCTTCACTGTTCCAACAGGAAAATTAAACAGCAAAACATCCATATTTTCTAAATAAAGACCAACTATATTTTCCCAAAGCCTTTGCTTACAAATAGACGAATATATTCAAACATCCCTGCTTTCTAGATAAAAGGTATAATGGATAAAATTGTTTCAGGTTTGTTTTTTGGGCGAACATCTCTTCCATTGTCATTACTCACCTACTTTTATCAGTAATCATTCAGCATAGAATTGATATTTACAATTACCAATATCTACATAAATTGATTATTTAATATGTTTTTATTAAAATAGTTATTTATCTATGATTTCACTGAAGACTCCTAGATGACTTTTCTCTTAACCCCATAAACACAAAATCTATTTCTGCTTGAATTCTGTATTTATCATCTTTAATGTTAGTATATTTATGTGCATAATGAACCACAGTCTTTTTGTTGTTAATATATGAAAAATGTAAATGTTTTGAACATTCCACGCGAGAGTATTACTGTTGTCACCATCTGTGTTAAAGGGAAATAAATGGTAGGGGTGGCCAATGATTGGCTAACCCCGAAATCCCACATACTCCGTCAGCGCTCCGTCAGCGCTCCGCTCCGCTCCAGACCGCCTGAGCAAAGTAAAGCCTACAGCCTCCGCTGTGGCTCCCGTCCGCTCTGCTGCGAGTTCCTTGGAGATCGTAGAGAGCATGCGCGAGATGAACCAGGGTTTCCGCGGATCATTAAAAATAATAACAATTCATTAAATTTTTTTTAAATCAAGGCCTTAATTGGCACTAAAAGTAATTAAATAAGTTTATCGTGGCATTTAAAATTCTTTAATAAAATTTTTTTATAAAAGCAATTTTGTAAGATATATTATATCACTATTAATTTGCGTGGAACTGATCATAAAGCCGTATGTTTGGAAAAAAAGCTTGAGGCGGAGAAAAAGCTAGAGAATATATATATATACGTATGTGAGTGTGTGTGTTTTTACATACATAAAAGAGTCATGGAACTGTGCTTACAGCTCCTTAATATTTCATGTACACTAATAACTTGTGTACATGGTTCTTGTTGATGGCATTAAAATCATTTCAAATAGCGTTAAATTAGAGTCACTCATTCCTGTATGAACCCTGTGAGCGCTTAATTTAATATGGCATATTAAAAAAAATCCCCATCAGCCCTCAGCATATGTTCAGTTCCTGCCCAAATATATGTATATATATATTTTTGTAGATTTTTGTAATGGGGATAACTATGATCATTCAAAACTGCCTTTTTTGAATGAACTTTGTTCTCTACTCCCAAACTCAGCATCTCTTCATCCATTCCTGTAATAAGAAGTGTCTTTTGAATGGATTTGATTAAACTTTAAGTCCCTCGGTGAATAACCAATAGTTTGCATCGTATCATTTAAATAAACAATGTTTTTGGAATATATAATAATTACGCTATAATTTCTAGTTACCGATTTGTTGCTACTATATTTCAATTTGACGAACAGGAATTTGTCGATGTTCTTTTGTCGATGTTTTTTGCAGAGCAAAAAATAGCTAGGCTCCGTATTTTGTTGGTGAAGGACGGAGAAGATGTACGTGGACGGAGACGTGCGGAGGAGTAGCGGTGGATGTGGAACAGCTCTCATTGATTTACATGAAAGACAAGTACTCTGCACGACGTACGTCAGCGGAGCGCTGACTGACTATGTGGAATCTGGGGGTAAGGGTGGACGTGGCCACCTCTGGCCCCCCATCTGGCTCCGCCCCTGCAATACACGTTTTTTTTGACAACACTCTGAAACATGAAGCATGCATTTGCCTTCAAAATTCTTTTACTATTGCATACCTAAAGAGAGAGCTTTCAATAGTCTCCTTATCAGTAAATAGGCTTGCGTGTGGTGTAATCTCAGCAGAAATACAGCTGTTTTACTGAAGGCCTCGCACGTTTGCTTGTGAACATTAGTAAAATTCAAGACTTTAGGAAAAAAATAAAGTTGCAGATGACCATATTTAAAAAATAACCACGCCGAAAATAATATTTCAGCAATTGTGAACACTGACGATGCATCGTGACGCTTCCCAAAAGAAAAATACACACACGTTTAGCAAAGGGAGAGAGTCCTCAAAGCACTGTGAATAATTTCGACAACTTTATCTGACGTGGCAAGTAGCAAATACGGGTTTTAAAGAAAGAAAAAACAACAACAAAAAGGAGCGTTTCAACACATGGCGTTGAGCTTCACTGGCTGATATTCTGCCTGAACAGCGAGCAGCTAAAACCGTTAGCATGCTAACTTCTGCCCCCCCTCTGCTAAACTGGCTAACTTCGTCCCGGTGTTGTAGGAGCGGGTCACTCGCTAACTCAGCACAAAAATAACAATAAAAACTGAAAGTGTTGTGCACGTTGAATTTCAACTTTGACAATATCCGCTCGAGCAAGTCCAAATTAAATAAAAACAGCACGGGAGCAATGCGGTCATTTCTTTGCAAGCTCTATTTTATTTTTTGTTTGCTGCAGAAAACACAACTGCCACAAGCAGCGGAGGGGGGGATCCTAGCCAAGAAGCTAATGCTAACAAGCTAACGCCAAAGCCAGGGAGCCTCTGTCAAGACAGACGCACGAACCGAGATTGGAGACCTCTCCGCGCAGTGTGGCGGATTTCACAGCGAAAACAGACAGTTTGTTGTCCAACAGAAACAAAGAGGCGTATGGCTACTTACGCTTTGAAACTTTCCGCCGAGTCCACGCTGTTTAAATCCCGTTTATCCCAGCCAGCTCTGACCTTCGCGGTAGTGAAACAACATTTCTGCTGGCTAACTGTGCCGCCATGTTCCCCCTGCTCTCTGCAAACCAATGCTGAGTGTTTATCTGGCTGGTAGCTGCTGCCGCTGCTGCTGCTGCTGCTGCTGCTATCCTCCCCCACACACACCAAACCACATCACGGGGCTCCGAGCGCAAATCGACTCAGTTACCGCCGGGGGTGGGGGCTCCTGAGCTTTCCCGAGGCGCTTTACCTGTTAGGATTACGGTACTTGCCGTATGATTAATCAGCATCATTATGACGACAATTAATCTGCCAACCGCTGCAAGTTTCACTACTGTGTGATTATTATTTTTTTAACAATTGTTTTTAAACGGAAGTTGTGATTAAAAGGATACTAGGTACCCCCCTCCCATCACCACCACCATTAACTGTGGTTTTAGAATAATAATGTTCATTGTTTATATATTATTACAACTAATTCACAGAAGCAAAAACAAAATAAATGTAAATTTAAGACCATGGACGCCACACATTACGCCATTACATCAAACAAAAACGGTTTTTAACATTAATTTTGGGGCTTTTAAAAGTTATATCACTTAAATGTTCCATTTTTTTATGCTTTTTGATAACCTAATACATTATCTTAATATTTTAGCTGGCACTTCAAATAAACGTCAAACAAAACATCCTCCTCCTAAAATCATAAATCTTTACAATAAACGTGGACTTATTTGGTTTATCTTGATTTACTGTCTTGGTCAAACGTCCATAGTTCAGAAACAGCAGGCGACTTTTCGATCAATTTCTATCCAACAGCGCCCCCTAGAGGCATGTTGGCTGATTGTATCAACCGGCGCTGAGGTCGTGTCCTCATTTTAGAGATTGAAGATGTTTTGGTGGGAGTTGAGAAGGGTCACAAAACAGCTCATAAGGCATATTGTTAATTTTTTAGCTAAAATGATGGCTCTGATGATGATACGCCTTAAAATAATACAGGTTAACTAATGAATAAACAAGACCTGGCAAATAAAAAGATAACAGTGATAAAGAAAATACCACAAGAGCTGCACAGTGAAGCAGCTGGTTTAATTTAATTTATTTATTTATTTATTTGACAGGGACGGTGTACATTAAAAAAAGCATTCCTGCAAATGCACCAGAATTAGCCAAAAGGCTATTTTTCATATGTTGTCCCTGGACAGATCTTAAAATTGTCTTCCTAAAAAAAACACAACAGTAAGCATTTTACAATGAAAAATACAAATATAAAAAGAAAATAAAAACAGCTATACTATAACTATTCAAAACTGATTTAAAAATACAGAATAAGTCTTCGCTAGACTACAGCTTTTAGGTTCATAAAATAGAATGATGTGTTATGAGCCAGTTTGTTAGATGTTTTTTGAAAAGAGTGTATGTTGTAAGTAGGGCTCCAGTGCCTGCCTTGTAGCAAGAAGGTTCTGGGTTTGATTCCTGGCTCGTTCGATTTTTCGTGTTTGGAGCTTGTGTGGGTTCTCTCCGGGTACTCCGGCTTCCTCCCACAGTCCAAAAACATGACTCTTAATTGGTTAATTGGCTTCTCTGAATTCTCCTTAGGTTTGAGTGTGTGCATGAATGGTTGCTTGTCCTGTTTGTCTCTGTGTTACCCTGCGATGGACTGGCGACCTGTCCAGGGTGTACCCCGCCTCTAGCACCGTAGACAGCTGGAGATGGGCACCAGCAACCCTTGAGACCCCAATCAGGATAAAGTGTGTCAGATAATGGATGGATGGTATGTTGTAAGTTCTCTGAAGTTCCATTCCTGAGCTGCTGTGACTGCAAAGGCTCTTTGACTAAAAGCACTTTTACGCAGAGCAACAGCAGTTTCCTATAGCCGACCCTCGTGCTACTGTTGGCGTGTTCCTGATTTTTACAAACTGACTGAGTGGAGGAGATGACAGACCATGGATTATTTTGAAAAACAGAGTTTTGCATACCTGATGACGTTTTCCCAGCTTAAAAGCTTATATTTTAGTATAATGGCACAATGGTGATATATATATATATTTTTTATCCAAAATATTTATTGTCTGTTTGTAAAAAGATTCCAAAGGTTTTAGTGTTGTTTTATTTCCATGTGACCAGGTTGTAAGACAGTAGATGATGCGGGACAGAACCATACTGTACATAAACATTTTAGCTGCCTGGAGTGACAAGTTTGATCTTATGAAACAGAAATGTTTATTATTGAATTTGACTCTATGTTGTTTGGCGCTAAATAGGTTCTGGTTTTAAAATCTGGCTTCATTGGGCTGGTATGTTCTCCCTGTGGATGTGAGGCACTCCAGCTTCCACCCATGTTCCAATAATGTTACTGTTAGGTTAATGTGTCTCTATAAAGTTGTCCTTCGGTATATATGCAAATTTGAGTTTTTTATTGTTTTGTGGGTGTCTTTGTTCCCTGTCCAGGGTGTACCCAACTCCTGCCCAATGAACACTGGAGATAGATACCAGTCTGCCCACAGATAGAATAGAATAGAAAATCCCTTTATTGTCCCACAGTGGGAAATTCTGGTGTTTACAGCAGAAAAAATTAGAAACAATTATGGTCAAACAAATATGGACCTTAGCAAAAAGGAAAAGAATAACATAATAGTGAAGAGTTAAAAGATAAACAATAAAATACTGTACTGTAAAGTGTTTTAACAATATAAAAACCGTCCAGCTGGAGAATAAATAACCAATATATAGCTGTGGACATTTTTACAGTAATGTTATTTGCAAATAGCAGCAACATCAGAGACGTGCAAAATGACAGCAGCATGTTTTTTTAACTGACTAAGATATAAACTGTACAAAATCAGCCTGACTGTAGTAACTTATTGAGGTTATTGGGAACAGTGGTGGTTATAGTCTTCCAGCTGCTGGGAGGAAGGATCTGTGATAACGCTCACTGGTGCATTTAGGGTGCAGCCGTCTGTCACTGAAGGAGCTCTCCAGTTCTGCAACAGCTTCATGCATGGGGTGCTACAATGTTAATTTAGTTAGGATCCTTTTGTTTTCCACTTCCTGCACTGAGTCCAGAGGGCATCCAATCACAGAGCTGGCCTTCCTGATCAGCTTATCCGGCCGCTTTCTCTCAGTTATAGATAAGCCACTGCTCCAACAGACAGCTCCATAGAAGATGGTTGATGCCACAACAGAGTCATAGTTTTGCAAGGACAAAGATTATGGTAATGGTTGAATGTTCTTCTTCATATCTTGTCTGCTCAGCAGTATTTTTGATGATATGCCAACTCTGTTACATTGAGATCTGGGGAATGACCTAGATCTAACTGTATTGTTATAAACTGATGTTAGTGGACTCTGTGAGATTGTTAAAAAAATGCATATAAGGGCTGTTTTTCCTTTGCCTACGTCAACATGACTTCAAGCATTTTCAGTCCGATTCATAAGTTGCTGTATGGTTTAATTAATTTTTGCTCCATATGAGAGATATACCTGTAGCATGATGTTTCCGCCATCATGCTTCACAGTGTACTAGGAGTTGGTTTTTATTTTGTATCTAATCCCCTTAGACTGAAAAGAGATAATATTGCCTCCCTCAATTCACAGTAAGTTCTTCACGCTGCTGCCTGTGCTTTATTCATTGTTTATACCCATGCATCATCACTGAGTTTTTGACACTTATGCTCATTGGCAGAGAGTCTGAGGACAACCTAAACAGATCAGTAACACATAATCATGCATTTGCTTTTGCCTATTTAAAATGGATCAATCAAACCAAATTGCATGGTTTTGGACCAAGGGAAGCAGGAGTACCACCAGAGTTGGGATTCAAACCAAGGAGTTTATTGCAAGTTAACATCTATGATAACTGTCCAACCATGATGCTTCATATTTAGTTGTCTTTTGCAAAGTGGAACCTCTCTGACACACAATTTTGCAACAGTGGAACTTTGCAGGATTTTCCAGTGGATCTTTTGGTTTCACGTCAACATGTACAAGTTGCAACTGTACATCAACCTGGAGTTTGGTCTTAACCTTTTCAGGTATACTTCCATCCATTCCAACCTACACCTTCTGGTTGTGTATTTACTTATTAATTTTTTCAACTATGTAGTCTGACATTTTCTGCACTTCTTCATACCATTGTTATTACACCCTAATCACATTTTAATTAGATAAGATTTTAATGTCTAGATCAATGCATTTACCTCATATTTTCTGAGTAGACTATATAAACAAACATGGACATTTGCTGCCCTAACATTTAAACAAAGGCTATATAATTTAATACTGAAAGAACCTCACTGATTATGCTCTAAATCATTATTTTTAAACAAAATAATTAAGCTTGACAATCAGCAGCATGCATATAACATTTTGTTTTTCATTGTATTGCTCAACTAAATCTTCTAGGGAATTTTATGCTGTACAGAAATACTACTTGCAGAGAAAATTATTGATCTGGATATTGTTGTCAAGGAGAGTTAATAGTAGAAGTACTAATCCTGACTAACTACTTTTAATATGTTGACAGAGTTGTGTAGAGTGCCCAAAAGTTGTACTTAGTGGCACTACTTCATATTCTTACTTAAGTAAAAATAAAACGTAGCCTTTATAGTAATTTTTAAATGAGAGTAAAGACGTATTACATAACAAGTACTAAATTACAGAGGAACTTATATGCTTACTACCTATGATTATAAAAACTGATTTATAAAATGATGTAAAACTGAACAAAATATTGATATGCTGGTGTTTCAAATAGGAAAGATGAACACAACATACAGTAATTACACAATAGAAAATAAATTTGCAGGAATGAACACTTGTCAAAATTCCTTTGATTTTTTTAAAAACTTACAAAATCAAGTTAAAGAATGAAGGACCAGGTGAAGATATCATACAACTTGGTGCAGCAGCTCTCCAAGGTGTGATCACTTCTTTTTAGCTGCAGACTAACGAGCAGGTCCAATCTGATGCAGGTGTTAGTTATGGGGATGGAGATTTTCAGGGTGATTCCATAATCTTTTATTTTTGTTTGGTTTAAAAAAAATAATTACTGAATACCGGATTTTTTTAATTGTATTTCTTTCAGTGTTTCTTGAAGCCAAACAGCTGCCATTTGAAATGACTAGTTTTGTGTCATATCTGATCTGGTTATGTTTGTTCAAAGTTAAACTGAATGAACATCCACTGATGCCGGTGATTCCATGATTTTTCCCAGAGGTGGTATACGGATTACTTTATTTTCACTCAACCTCTAAATGATTCGACAGATAGAAAATAATATTTAGCCAATAAACCCAGAGTAAAAAAAAACAAATGTCTCTCTCAAAGGTGGATATTTGTTTAAAATAAGTTTGTTTTCATTAAGCGAAGTTACAATGGATGGAGTAGCCAGAAAATGTACTCAGGACTAATGATATTTTATCATATTTTTATTCAAGTAAAAGTAAAAAGCACAAAGCACTACAAAGCTACACCTAAAAGTACCTTTTTTTTTCTTCAAAAATTTACTTAAGTAAATAAACCAGTTAATACCCACCTCTGTAGGTCACTGAAAATATATCCCTCTTGAATGGACGCCTACTGCAAAAAATTAAATAAAAAAAAAGAAGCATCCATTTTAACGAGATAATTTTATTTCTTTACAGGATATAGCCCCAGGGCAAATAAAAAAACCAAAAAAAACAAATACTGCTCTAGTTATTTGTGGCTTGCTACACTGTATTAGCGTTACTTAGGTAACAAAGTACAGCTGATTGGCCTCTGTTGCTTTATGGCGTGTAAGGAAAAGCCATTTGGCACAGTCAATACTCCGTAGGGGAACAAAGGGATAGAACAAAATATATAGATACGCCATTCGCATTCGGAATAACAGCCCATTGGTGGGCATTTTTAAAAAGGTAGGAAATAATTCATGATGGAACAAACACATTAAGAACATTCCACCTTAACATTAGGAAAGATGGACAACTCACACACAAAAAAAAAATGTTTTTTTCCTTTTTCTCCCTCATTCTTATCTCAATTAAAGCTACAGAATTAAAAAGCAAAATGGGTCATTAACAGCATAACTAGAACTGTGACAACTTCCACAGAAACGTGTGACGGACATGTGATTGCAAAGCTCTTCCATACTGAATGCTACATTAGTTTACAATTTTATTTCTTTTTTTTTTTTGCTGGCAGTTCTGCACAATGCTGGACCATACATGGACTCATTTCCTTTGCCTAGGTCTATACACTCCTTTTCCAACCAAAGCCTATGTGATAGTTTCTTTTCTATTTACAGGCGTCATCTATGATAGACAGGAAGGTGAGGTAAAAAGGAACACAGCATTTTAACAAAGTACTAAATGACCTGAAGTGGGGGGAAAAAATAAAGTGATCATTCCTGATTTGGTAAAATTACACTGTACAAAAAACAATAACGAAAAAAAAAAAAAAAACAATCCACACCAGTAGGCACTTCTTAAATAAGGTCTTTTCCCCTCAGTTTATTTGTCGGTTTTTCAATGATACCACAGAAGGAAGAGCTTAAGGTTTTCTGAGCAATCGGCAACCAAAGCAAATCTGAACCAAGGAAATCCAGCTGGCAGGTTGGTCCTGTGTGGGGGGGTGAAAACACATCCCCTTAGATCAGGGACCCTTTAGACCGACCCACTGGACTGCTAGCCGGGAGGACCCTGGGATAGATGGTTCTTTTGAGATACAGGGGATTAGGCAGGCTGACGGGAATGTTTTTTTTTCTCTTCTTTTCCTCTCCTCCTCAATACGTCTTTAAGATGATTTCTCTTTTCTCGATCTCGGTGAATCCGCGCCGTGTGAGCTCACTCCGTTTACGCCGTTGGCTGAAGAAAAACAAAAAGGGCACAGAGAGATGAGAGAGATTCATCGCGTTTCTTTAAAAGGTTTGAAAGTAAGGTGTTTTCTTTGCTCTCCCACCTTTATCTTTCTTCGACTTGCTCTTAGCAGCAGCCTTAGCAGGAGGCTTTTTCAAATTCTTGGCCTCGGCATGCTCTCTCCATCGACGCAGCTGGAAGTTGATAAACTTCCACATCATGAAGGCCTGAGTAAAGCAGATGGCTGACAGGACGGTCATCCTGGTGGATCAGAGTAACGATCACTTCTTTGAACAGTAAAAACAGGAGTCTTGTTTTCTCCTCACCAAAGTCATACAAGAGCTTTAACTGAAAGATGGTTGCATTTCACGCCCATTTTAAAAGCAGGTTTCAACATACAGAAAATATTTCATTATGACTGTTAAACCTCTTATCATATAATTTGCATTTTACACCTTAGAGTCCATCTTTCACACTACATGTGAAAGCAGATATTTATATTAACCGTATAAAAAAATGGCATAACCTCTAAACTTCCCCTTTACCAGAATTATTTCCATTTCTTACAGCCAGAAAACCGAGAGAGAAATGAAAAGGAAATGCTGAGTTGATTTAGAGCAGTTTCTGTATCAACATAATACTATCAACTAGAGGTTGGGCGATCATTTAATTTCTCTTTTTAGGCCGATGTCGTTTTTTTTAATTTAATTTTTTTTAAATCGGTCTAGCTGATCGCCGATATGTTCTGCTGAAAATGTGTGTGTGCAGAGAGGGCCAAAAATCCAACAATGAGAAGCTTTGCAAAGGTACTAAAAATAAAAAAATTAGAACGCCATCATGTAATAATACAAATTTAACGTTATTGATCTCACATTGGAGAAATTAATCTCTGCATTTAACCCATTCCCCTGGGGAGCAGTGGGCTGCCATTGTGGGGCGCCCGGGGAGCAGTGAGGGGTTAAGGGTCTTGCTCAGGGACCCAGACTGCATGCTGTGGGGATCGGTACTTGCAACCTTCTCAGAGCACAACCGCACTGCTCTAACAACTACACCAACACTCCCCCAAAAAGTACAAAATTATTAATCTTAAATTAGCGGTTGTGTTGATCCTAACTGTTCTGAATGACAATAAAAGAGAAAAATCTAATGTCAGTGAGAATGAAGAGTTTGTAGCACTTTTATACAGTGTAAACGTATGACTTCAGATTGATCCTACAAACCAGAACAGAAGAATTTGTTGGCTTCCTTTCCCTCATAAGATTTACTCACCGGACAAAGAAAACGTTAAAGTTCCCCGCAGCCAAATCAAATCCTTGGTTTTCAGCAGTGGAGAGGCCGAAGCCCACGGTGAGGACAGACAGGGACAGGGTGAGCAGTCGTCCAATCACAAACAAGACAGCCCAGATGGTGAAACTATGACACACAAACACATAAAAGGGAAATTTTCAAGCTGTCAAAAACTTTTTTCTGCCTCACTCCATTAATGAAAGAGGTGAGAGAGCTGAGAACTCACCCCATCTGCCTGTTCTCGTTGCTGAAGTAGACGAGACGCGAGACGTGGAACAGAAGCTCCACGAAATAGTGCAAAACCAGCAGGACCAGACCCAGACGGTTCAAACTGAAAGAGACGAGCCGACAGACAGAGTTAGAGGCAGAAATACATAACCAACCTCGTCTTAAATTGTGGCTTTTCCCTCGTCTGCAGCGCTTACTTCAGAATGTAGGCGCCAGCGATATGAACGAGGTACAGGAAGATGTACACAAGCTGGCGAGGAATATCCTCCTGAATGGTAAACACAGAGAGGAGGAGGCAAAAAGAGGTCAAAATATTTACCCCAGCGTGGGATCGGCATGTTCATTTCAGCATGAAGACGATAGTTCTTTGAAACAATGCCACAAGGCCCAGGAAGTCAAACAGGAAAAAGCTGCAGCAGCCAAACAGCAATACTTACTTTCTTTGCTTTTTGGAAATACAGCTCTGGAAGAGCGTGTAACCAGTAGCCCATCTGGCAAATGTAGAAGAATTTCATCTGAAATCTGAAAAGAAGCAAGGCTTTTAAAATAACATCTTCCCCCTTTTGAGTTTATTCATGCGTCATCACTAAATATACACACTTACGGCATCAGCGTATGAGGATAACCCTCCCACAGGGCAACGGGATTGGACAGGAAGTTTTCCTAAGAGCATAAAGCTTTTAAATACAATGTTTAGCCTGAACCTTAAGAGAGGAAACCAGAAAAAATAAACCAAAACCACAACTAGTCAAAAGGTCGGCATACAGATAGAAGGATGTTGGTGCCCCAAGCGAAAGAGAACAAGTAGAAGGCGCTGAGTTGGCCTGACTCATTGAACTTGCTGTGCTTGGTTTTGGAGAAGTGCTTTTTGCGGTTGAGTTTCTGCAGAGATAAAACATGAGAACGGGCCCAACGTGAAACCGTTAGAAGGTGTTCAAAAACCCCAGGCACTATTGTATCTTTTCTCACTTACGTCCAGCACATACTCCTGGATAATGGCGTGCATGATGATGGCCACCAGCATGTAGAAGAAAACGGTGGCCAGGTCCTTGATGCCATGGTGGAAGTGGTTGACCGCCGTCTCCTCCGGGCCCTCTGGGAAACAGAACAGTCATGCGGAGTCAACGCCATACCCAGGATTTCAAAATTGTGCTTTTATCAGGTCAATTGGCTCGTTCATATCTAATACATCCAGACTATGTAGATTTTTTTTTTTTTTTACTTCTCGACCAGACTCCTTTATCTATTTGATTGGGATTGTATGGAATCAAACACAATGTAGTAAAGAAATCTAAAAGAACAGGGAAATTAATTTGTTATTTACATCAAGCTAAAAAGAGGAGTGCGCAGTGGCAAAAAAAAAAAAAAAAAACAAGCGCTGTGCAGGTTTACCTCCTGAAGAGCGAGAAAAATGACATACAGGTCAGTACGGAAGAGGATTAGGGCCACTGGAAAAAAAAAAAAAAAGTTAACTGATTTTTTTTAATTTTATTTCAGTATAGTATGGGAAAAAAGTCAGAATTCTGACTTTAATCTCAGAATTCTGACTTTTTTCTCAGAATTCTGACTGAATTCTGACAATAAAAAAAGTCAGAATTCTGAGATTAAAGATTAAAGTCAGAATTCTGACTTTTTTCTCAGAATTCTAGCTTTTTTCTCAGAATTCTGACTTTTTTCCCCATGTTAAACTGAAATAAAATTTAAAAATCAGTTTACTTTTTTTTTTTTTTTCAGTGGCCCTAATCCTCTTCCGTAGGTCAGAGACATTGAGTTAGAGAGGGTCTAAAGTCTACGCTTTGAATATCACACAGAGCATTGTTCAGTCTGTGATCTATAAAATAAAAAAATTAAGGAGCAGCACAGCTACTAAACTACGATGTCACGGACATCCACTAAACTAAGGGACTACAGAAGGATCAGAAAAAAAAGGAAAAACAGCCAATAGGCCTATGGAGCTGAAAAGAGAATCTGCGCAGGTGGATGCATACGCAGAAAGAGTCGATTGTGCATTCAAAAATCTGACAATAAAAATATCACTGATAGGGAAAAAAATAACATAAAAAAGGAGCATATGCAGGATTTAGAAACAGCTGCTTCAGTTATGCAAAAAATAAAATAAAAAATATGGACAACTTGGAAAAAAATTGGAATATTGAGCTTTAATAGGCAGGAATCAGGAGTTTGATTAGAAAACAGATGGAGCTTAAAAACAGGAATAATCTGGAAGAATTCTTGCAGAGAATGTCTGCAGTTGTAAACATACATCTGCAGCCATTATGGAATTGTTTAGATCAACCTGTGTTATGGCCTATTCAGAGTCCAAACATGTCTCCCTCTGATACGACTGACTTTGTGCTACTTTTTAAAGAGGAATGGTAGACAGCTGATACCATGTGAGCCGTAGATCTGCCAGGATTGACTGAACTAAATACACTGATTGGTGGTCACAGGTTGGGGCGGTGCTCTTTTTCTTTCCTTCTTTCTTTTGCAAGACTAAGATACACCTTAGTCACGATCCTAGACAATGAGACGTGTGGTCACAAAATTGGCCGCCCACTTAATGCGCCTTGGCTGGAGAGTCACAATTTTAATCATCCCGAATCCTGAAGGGCGGCCTTAGGATTACAAAGTCTCGACTGCGCAGAATTTCCCCACACAGACAACGATCCACTGTTGATACAGAGAAAATCTTTTAAGGTTTATCAACAGCTTGAAAAAAGCAACAAAAAAAGGCCTTTTGACATCTCTATTTGAGCAAAGATATGACTTGTAAATAAGTAACGGAGGACGGTTAGCGGCGAGACATCAGAGATAAAAACTCTCCCTCAGTGAAGCTGGATTCTATCAACAGTGCGTGAAGCTTGCAAAGAACAATGTTAACCTTGAAACCATAAGGAGATTGAATTGCAAGGCACATATTGCTCCTCAGCCCCGAATTCGTCCGCCACAACCTTGCCGCAAGAGAACTTTATAAATCAGGCAGACTAAATTTAGCTCTAAATGGAAGAGAGGATTAAAAAAACATAATAAAAAGAGAGAGAAAGCTCTAAAATGGGTTCGTTTAAGGCCGTACAAGCACTGCTCCGGAATGCAAATCTACATGCAGTACAACACAAAGAAAATCCTGCATTATAGTATAAAACCAAAAGATGCGGCATATCACTAATATAAAATAAAAAAGTGTACGAGTACAGGTCACTCACCATTTGTTGATATGGTCACATTGTACTGGACAGTAATGAATAATACTGCAAACTTTGACGTGACCTGTGGAATTAGAAGGATATGAATATATCTATTAGCAACCAGATGATGAGCATTTTTTTACTTCAACAGAAAAAAATATATAGAAAAATGAAAGTGTGGAAGAAAGTTAAAATGCCTGCCTATAGAATGATGTGGAAAACAGCAAAGTAGCTGCACTGCTACAGAGTAAAGATGAGTTACAGTGACTAGGCTATTCAAATGGTGTTACAATGTAATGCCTGGGAAGGATTTCCATTTAAAAGTCCTAGATGTGGTGATAGATTAAAATACTTGAAGTACATCAGAAATTATTCAAGTGACGATGCTCAGTTGCGAAGTTCTCTTGCACACTTGGACCAACAAATAAAAGAAAGTATCACTTTTATTTTAATTTTTTTTTACACATGTTGTTTAACTTTTTTATTGACATTGAGATGGATGATCCAGTTGTATTAATAATTATGCTCTTACTGTTTGTCAAACTTTTTCTTCAAGTAATGTGACAGTATTTGTTTATTTGCATGAAACATAGTAAAAATCTTTAACATATGTAGCTCATGCCTAGGATACATGTATGTCTCTGTGTGATGACTCTTCAATCCACCACTGTTTCCTGTCAAAACTTTATAAATATTTTATAAACTATATTTGATCACTTTATTGTTATTATTTACAACTATATTTCATAAACTCTGGACCTGTGAAGACTGTAGTCATTCTTTTTCTAGAACAGGTTTTCCTTCAACTAAACTATTTTTTTCCTGACCAAATGTATTTGGTTTTCTTTTTTCTGTGTGCACACCTGTTGTTTTAAGCTTAATATTGAGTTTTCAATAAAGTTTATATGCATCTACAAACTGTAAGCAATAAAAAAAAAAATTAACATAAATAAATATTAGAAATACTGCTCTGTGTGCAATGAATATATAGCTGCATATGTGCGAATCTTCAGTTTTTGAATTATTTGTATTCGTTTGTGAGAGCTGGACATAAATTTAAGCAATTACAGTCATTTTAAAAGACGAGTTGAACTAAAAGAACAGCTTAAGGGAAATTAAATGATCACCTTTTAATATAGAAACATATTAGCATCGTGTTTATACGGAAGAGGATTAGGGCCACTGAAAATATAAAAAAAAGGTACGCTGATTTTTAAATTTTATTTCTGACTTTTTTTTTTTCAGAATTCTGACTTTTAACTCAGAATTCTGACTGAATTGAACCGCCGTAGCCATATCTGTTTTAGAGACTAAACTAGCTCTCCAAACACCAAAGTGTTAGTGTTCCATCTTTACATCTTTGTCAGTGAAGCTGTGTGCTCTCACATCTCTTCCTTCATGGTGCCCATCTACATTAAGCTCCAAAATTCTGAGATTAAAGTGAGAATTGTGAGATTGAAGTCAGAATTGTGAGATTAAAGTCAGAATTGTGAGAAAAAAAAGTCTGAATTGTGAGAAAAAAAGTCAGAATTGTGAGAAAAAAAGTCAGAATTGTGAGAAAAAAAGTCAGAATTGTGAGAAAAAAAGTCAGAATTGTGGGAAAAAAAGTCAGAATTGTGGGGAAAAAAGTCAACTTTTTTATTTTTTCAGTGGCCCTAATCCTCCTCCATACATTTAAATTAGAAGTTAAGAAGAAATAAAATGCAAACCATCTCCAGGACAGTTTAGAGGCAGTAAAACACAGCTCACTGGCTGCTTAGAGCCAAAACTTTTATTTTGAAAAGTTTAATTCCGGAAGTAGTTCGGACGCGCACAGAAGCTGCGTCCCCAAAGCATGAAACCACAATAGGATTGAACAAACATGTGGTTTAAAGCGCTTCTGAATGTGGAGAAAATATTCCGGGGTGTTCGGTGATTCGCTCCCGGTTCCGTTAAAGGCCCATTTCGATTCTGGAGAGAAACTTTCTGTTTCGGTGCTTGTCTGGATGACAGCCCTGCCGACCGCTGACTGAATGCCACGTAACACTTTTACGCACAAACTAAGCAAACCGGGCTGTTGCAAAATCCCCAAACCACAGAACCCTAAGCTGCGCTTTAAACTCAAAATCCATTATATTCAATCAAGCTGTTCTTTTTAATATTTAAACTTTAGTTTTATTACCGTTGAATACTCGACTCAAAAGCGGGCCTGGAGACAAGTGTTTGGAAATATATTGATTTCAAGATGGGAAAGTGAGCCCTGCTCCCATTTTAAGCCTAAATCTACATAAAACACATTTAGAAGAACAGACAGGAAGCAATGAGTGTGGTAATAACAGCAAAGCGGGGCTATTCTACATAGCAAACTTTCGATCTTTAGGAGGAAGTAGTGAAGAATGGATCAGACAGCCATGTCAGTTTCTATAAGAGCAGATGGGAGGGAGAAATCTGCTTTCTGATCCACTAACTCTGCACCATCTAAAACTAAAAACAACATGTGGACTCACCTCAAACATCAGCCCGAGCAGGAAAACCATAGCAACACAGGAAACAATATCTGCATGGTTCTGGATCACAAACTCATGGCTCAGCACCGGCGGGTTCTTGTTGCTCTTTTTCCTGATCCCCATGTCGACGCGGTTTATAGAAGTTGCGCTTCACACTGATGCGATTCTTTTTTTTTTTTCTGGGTTTAAGCCTCCCAGATGGGGGTTATCTTTCTGAGCTCTTAACGCGTCCTGCAGACACAGGGCCAGGCTGCTGTTGAATGGCGTGTCACTCTTCTGCTGGTGGGAGGGTCCACGGAGAGAGAGGGAGCCGCTGCGCCTGACCAAAGAGACTCTTTACGCACCGGAGAGGAAACAGCTGGGGCTCTCTGCCGCTTCCTAGAGGTTTGGAGTAGAAGGAGATCATTTGGAGCTGCAAAGTTTCTATGAAACCCAATGCTAAACAGCCCCGACTGGTCCTAGAAGGAAGTAGAGATGCATATTTGTTGTGTCCTATGTATAAATAAACTTTGGTTTACGTTGGTTCTGGGCCAACCAGTAGCCTGATGGAGTTTTCTCCGTGGGGGGTATAAATTCAAAATGGACGTATACCAAAAACTAATCAAACGTATAGGCCTATTAATTTATCACACCAATATATTTATATGAATGCCAACAACAACAAACATTAGAAAAACACTTTATAAAAAGAAAATATAATTTTATATACAGGTTTACTTTTTGTACAGAAATGTTGCCCTTCTAGGGCTTTCTGAAGGCAAACCTGTGTTTTAAATGGTCCGATATTGTGTCAGAAACCTGAAAAAAAAATGTACCAGTTTAATAATGGAGAAGCTATTAGTCTGCTTTATATTTTTAATATATAAATAACTATTTATTTTCTGAGAATGTGTTTATTTATGAGCAACTATTCAAATTAACAAACGCCTAGAAAAAGTACACTATATTATAATATTTTCCATGTGAATTCCAGATTAATGCTTCTTTGCCTTTTCTAAAAAGTGCTTTAAGTCAGTCCTACATGTCTTTATCCATGCTGGGTCAGATCCTGACGATTGAAAAAGGAGGCGGACTGTCAAGGCAGCATAATAAAGCATTAGCCTCGCTACATGCAGTTAGCCAAGCCTTCTTGCTAAACCAGGTCCTGGGAAAGGATGTATCACTCTCTCTCTGTTGAGAAAATACACTTCCAGTCACCTCTCCTATACCTTTGTATTGCAGAGGAGCTACTGCGCATGTACAACTTTTAACGAGAGTCAATGGGCAAAGATTTTGGCACCCTAGGACAGAAATATGTCACCGATCTGACGGAAAATGGAATAACACTTTCCTAGTCATTAAAGATTAAGTATTTATCTTGCACACCTGAAAACATTTATATTGATCTTTTCTGCACTGCTGAGCTTCTATTATATGTTATGTTCTTGTTATTAAACAACAATTAGTAAACATATCTATAAAAAAAACATTTATATTGATATATTTTGAAATATTTTACATTTTAATTTAAAAATTAATTATACATTTTTTTTTACAACTTAAAGCTACAGTGTGTAATAATTACAGGCATATAAAGTCAGAAATTTAATATATTATACATAACTATGTTATTTA